CTAATAAACCCTAATAAACCCTAAATAAACCCTAAATAAACCCTAAATAAACCCTAATAAACCCTAATAAACCCTAAATAAACCCTAAATAAACCCTAAATAAACCCTAAATAAACCCTAATAAACCCTAATAAACCCTAAATAAACCCTAATAAACCCTAAATAAACCCTAAAATAAACCCTAAATAAACCCTAAATAAACCCTAAATAAACCCTAAATAAACCCTAAATAAACCCTAAATAAACCCTAATAAACCCTAAATAAACCCTAATAAACCCTAAATAAACCCTAAATAAACCCTAATAAAACCTAAAAAAAACCTTAAAAAAACCTTAAAAAAACCTAAATAAAACCTAAAAAAACCTAATAAAACTTAATAAAACTTAATAAAACTTAATAAAACTTAATAAAACCTAATAAAACATAATAAAACAAAATAAACCAAAAATAAAAAAAATGAAATTACATGACATTACAAAATAACTCTACTTTGGAACAAATAAAGTTACTGCAACTCTTTTGACTTCTCGATTTACTTCTATATTTTTTACATTTAAACTGTATCCTACTTAATTTTTGTGGACAACTTTAATGCCTTAAATGCAACTTCTTTTTTGTGTAGTATTTAAAATTCTGTCTTATCAATTGCATAGATTGGTATCCACTTTGCAATTTACTGATGTTTTAAAATTAAATTTTCAGATTACTATATGACTCTAATTTTTTTTGTTTATGTTGCGATTTATTTTAGTTAATTATTTTTGCAGCTGTGGTTTCCATTTTTAGTAACTATTTTGAAAATGCTGATTATATTCTCTTGTCCATTAAGTTGCTACTTTATTATTTATTTTTGCATTATTTTTTTTGCTTCATTGAATTTATTGTGTCTAAAAAGAATTTACTTTGAACCATTGACATTTCAGCGTTGAAAATCAAGGCGGTAATAAAATTTTTTTATTTACATTTTTAATGTGTTAATTAACTATAATATTGTGTTAGCACAGTTTTATCAAGTTGAAAAAAAAATTATTTTTGACTGAGGTTGTAGTATGAAAACATAGAAATATTATGTGAACAGTTCGTCATCAAGTTTACTACTACCTCCATCTCATAAAATATAATTGAAGTTCAACTTTTGATCTTCTACTTTTAAAATTTGAATTTCTCACAAACACCCTTATCGTATTTTCCCAAATACCTCAATTCAAACCACCCTGTCCTTTTCAGACACTGACACTGCCCTTACAGTTTTCAACGCCCCTTCCCATTTCCAATTTACCCATCCTTCCCCACCAACCAACAATAATGGCAATTTCAAAATCACAATCTGCCTCTGGGTTGGCCCCCTTTCTTCCCAATTGCAATTGGCCCCAATCTTTCCTCCCACTCATTTTCCCCATGGCAATTTCAAAATCACAATTGCCTATCCACATTTCGAATTGACCCATTTCCAATTTGGCCCCAATCCTTCCTCCCCTCCCACTCATTTTACCCCATGGCATTTTTCAAATCACAATTGCCCATCCACATTTCGACCTACCTCCATTTCGCAACTTGTGCCCCCATTCTTCCCCTCACTCATTTTCAACCCAATGCTACACTATCCAATCCACAATTGACAACCATCCCTCTTCCACTCTCCAATTGGCCCCTTTTTTCCCCAATACCTCCAAGACAATTTTCAAACCAAAGTTGCACTATCATAAATTTACCCGCAATCGACCATTGCGTTCCCCCATAAAACTTAATAAACCCTAATATAACTTAATAAAACTTAATAAACATAACAAAAGAAAATTGACCTTCGTGACATTACACAATTACTCTACTTTTGAAAAAGTAAAGTTATTGCAACTTTTGGTTTTCTCGGTTTATTTCTATTATTTTTATTTCTAAACTGTATCCTACTTAATTTTTTTTAAACATCTTTAATCCCTTAAACGCAACTTCTTTTTGTGTATCATCTAAAATTGTGTCTTATCGAACACATAGATTGGTATCTATTTTGCAATTTACTCATGGTTAAAAATTAAATTATCAGATAATTGTATGATTCTAATCTTTTCTGTTTATGTTGCGATTAATTCTAGTTAATTATTTTTGCATCTGTGGTTTCTATTTTTAGTAACTATTTTGAAACAAAAAATTATCTTCTCTTGTCCACTAAGTAACTAATTTATTATTTATTTTTTTTAATAAATTTTTTTTTACTTCATTCAACTTATTGTGTCGAAATAGAATTTACTTTGAAACATTGACATATAAGCGTTGAAAATCAAGGCGGTAAAAAATTTTTCTATTTTTTCAATGTTTTAATTAACTATAGTATTTTGTTAGCATAGTTTTATCAACTCTTAAAAAAAATTATTTTTGACTGAGGTTCTACTATGAAAATATAGAAATATTGCGTGAACAGTATGTCGTCAATCTTACTACTACCTCCATCTCATAAAATATAATTGAAGGTCAACTTTTTATCTTCTACTTTTAAAATTTGAATCCCTCTAACACTCTTTTCGTATTTTCTTAATTTCCTCAATTCAAACCATCCTGTCCTTTTCAGACACTGCCCTTACTGTTTCCAACACCCCTTTTTATTTCCAATTTACCCGTCCTTCCCCACCAACAATAACGGCAATTTCAAAATCACAATCCACCTTCGGGTTGGCCCCCTTTCTTCCCAATTGGCACCAATCCTGTCCCCCAACTCATTTTCCCCCATGGCAATTTTCAAATCACAATTGCCCATTCACATTTCGAGTTAACCCCTCTCCAAATTTGCCCTTTCTTCCCCCCACTCATTTTCCCCCATGCCAATTTCCAATTCACAATTGACCCCCATCCCTCTTCCACTTCCAATTGGCCCCTTCTTTCCCCACATCCCCACACTCCAAGACAATTTTCAAACCAAAGTTGCACTACCATCCTTTACCCGCAATCGACAATTTCATTCACCCATACATATTCTCTCATCAAATGACAATTTACCAGATGCAATTCTTTGCTTTTTTCCAGTTACTTTTTTTTGAACCATCTACTTGATCCTTCTCAATATGTCTATTTCTTTGAAGTAAAAAACCTTTTTTCTATACATACTACGACTATGTACTCTTTTTTTATAGGTTAGTTTTCACCTTTGATGTCATTAACTTTTAAAAAAAATAATCCTTGCGTTTATGGCGTGTCTGTAGTATAGCGTGTCAAGGCAGCTTGAAAATTTTACTTATTATCATTATTTTTATTGTGTATATTTTTAGTAAATATTGTCAAACTAAACTAAAAATTATTTACTTTTGTCAATTTAGTGGATAATGTACAAACATACGTCTTTAAAATTAATTCTTTTTTTGCTTTGTTGAGTTTTATGTGTTTATATAATATTTACTTTCAACATTTAATTGTAACAGTTGAAAATTAAGTCAACGATTAAATTTTTTAATAATGTTTTCAATGTTTCAATCAACTATATTAAATTGTCATTATATTTTCTTTAGAAATTTAATAATAAGATTATTTTAGAGTAAAAACGCATTATGAAAAGCATAAAAACAGTATGTAAACAGCATGTAATTGAACTTTCTACTACTACTATCTCATAAAATATAACTAAAGTTCAAATTTCAATCTTTTGCTTTTCGAATTGGAATTTTTCAAACACCCTTCCTGTACGGATGGACTCTCCCAAGATTTTCATTTCACACTCAGTCCTCTTTGCACACTGTCCTCAATTTCAAATGCCCCCCATTTCTAATTTACCCATTCTTCCCAGCCCGCCACAATAGCAATTTTCAAATCAACACAATCGCCTTTGAGTTGGTCCCTCTTCAATTTCCTCGCACCCCTTTTTCCCCATCCACTTTCCTCCACCGAAATTTCCCCTCCCATCTCCAAGTGGGCCCATTCTTCCCCAGCCCACTACAATGGCAATTTCAAATCACGATAACCTTGGGGTTGGCCCCAATAGGCCCCCTTTCCCCACCCATTTTCCCCATCACAATTTCCCCTCCCATTTCCAATCCAATTTACCCATTCTTCCCTCAGCCCACCCCCACAATGGCAATTTCAAATCACGATCACCTTGGGGTTGGCCCAAATTGGCCCCTATCCCCACCCATTTTCCCCCATCGCAATTTCCCCTCCCATCTCCAAATGGGCCCATTCTTCCCCAACCCACCCCACACCCAGAATGGCAATTTTCAAATCATAATTGCGCGGGCCCATTTTCAATCGGCCTCTCTTTTCAAAATTCCCCTTCTTTCCCATTAGCAGAAAAAATCACTAAAAAGTGTGTATTGTATACTGGTACTCATCATATTATGCAGAATCACACCCTATAGCAAAACCAAAATTCTCGTCTAACAGAATAGAATAGCAATATGATCCAACATTTAGTTATTTGTAAAAAGAATGCACTCCAATGAGTTGTGGTCAACGACTTGTTATATAGTGAGAGCTATCTGCAACTATGAAAAGAGAATGTAAGAATTTTCTCTCATTATGATTCTTGCCAAGCAAACTATAAACTAGGTTATCCTTTATGCGTTAAGATAAAAGACTACTAGTACTAGTTGGTGTTTTGTTTGTCAAACCTACTTGAGTAAATTCTTCTAATAAATCCATATGATCATTGTGCATTTGCTACTAAAGAGAATATCGACGATATATAAATACTATATGAAACAAAGTCTAGGATATGAATAACTCCGCTAACATATGGGATAGTTTTCGTGTGCTAGTATAAAACAACTTGATGGAACAGAAGACTTATGAAAAATGGACAGACAATATACTGTAATTCAAACAACCCATGTCATTCTAGTAACACTATTCAAGCCATATTCAACTTGAGAATACACAATGAACTTACTCCTATTTATGTCTCTTGCCTTGTATATGTCTTCTTCAATAGTTAAAACTTGTCTTTGATTCACAAATCAGCAACTTGTCTAAAGTGCATTCTTACATAGGCATGATGTAAAAGTCTGCAAGAGTGAGATCATTCTTCCAACTTCTTATCAATCTGAGTTTCCATACTACAAAACAAGTTATCAGTTCGTTTCTCAATCATCATAAAAAATACTCTTTTTTCTTTCTACTTGTTGAAAAAAAAGAGTAACGAGTTAACGAATTGATAGTGTACTACAGTTCTTTAGTCTTGTGTCTGGCAATCCATATAAAGTGTACTTTTTATATGAATTGTTCGCGCTTCTTGAAATAACTAGCTTTATACCATCAAAGTCATTTCGTTTGGTATCTGGAACAATCTCTTCCCAGTGCAAGTTGACCAGGTTTTGTTCGTTCGTTCGTAGAGCTGTTTCCATCTGACCTTGGTGTCGAAGAAAATTGACAAACTTGAGTGTACAAACTTTGGGAAATGTTTTCTTTTTCTTCTCAGTATGGACTGTCAAGTCTACTGCTTTCTCCCTTTCTTTATACCTTGGTTTCCTTGGAAAGTTTCAAAGAGCTACAAAGTAAACCTGCCCTCGCTCTTTTTTGGTCATATAGTACTTGATTGCTTTAATATATATACATATATGTATATGTGTGTGTTTAGAGCGATATAGTCTTGACACCTTGTTTTTAAGTTTAAAAGAAACAAAAATTGAGTCAATGATGACAGGATGTATATCTAATAGCTTTGCAATTGTTGAAAACACTCTAAATATTTTCGAGTCAAACAAAAAGGTAGTCGGAACAACGAATTTCGGAGTCTCTATGGAAAAAAAAAGAAAATGAAATTTCATAAACAATTGGCAATGTTGGTCAACTAAGTAAAAGCCAGTGAACAAAGAATTCGTGAAATGTATGGACCAGTCCATTCTCAAAAGAATAAGAATATGCGAGTAGTAAACAGAAAGCTTTATGAATAAATGGATGGGATGTAACTTTATGTAGTTTTCATTTATAAAAGGCCTACTGAAAGATATTTATTGGAATCCTTTTATCCAGAATGAGGTAAAGTGAGATCGTTGGCAACTTTAAGCGAAACAATTATTATGGTGCTTCTTATCCTATTGCCAATTACCAAAGGACTGCTAGTCAGTCGAAAAAAAGCCCATATCAAATATACAACACCTCAAAATGACTACTGTTCGACAATCAAACCCTTTCCAAATTTTGTAAGGTTTCCTTGTTTTTTCACGGAAACAAAAAACCATTTTACCTTTTATATTCCAAAGTTTAAACTACTTCGCAGTTGTACGAGACTGAAATTTACAGTAGACACAAAGTTATGAAACACTATCAGAGGATCTTTTAGGACATGAAAAAGTATACGTTGACTTTGTCAAAGTTCATAAAATCGTTTCCTTTGTTAAGGCATACAAATAAGTACCTTCAAGTAGGTATTTTAAACAAATTCCAACAGGAAACAATTGTGCTTAAAATTGAATTTTCGAGACAAAACAGAGGTATCATTTATCGAAGGAAAATTTGCTAAAAAAAGAATGACACCTTGTGTTTTTCTGTTCATAAAGGTGTAGAACCATACATAAAATGGTGCGGAAATGGAAAAATAACACTTGAGCTTGTTTTGGAAAACTCCATACAATAAAACTAATCGTTCAATAAATGAAAGTTTTATCTATCACCATCTCATGGATCATTTCAACCGTCTCTCTCGATATATTGCTACATTTGAAAAAGCTTCCTTGAAGAAAAGTCTTGTAAAAAGTGGAACAAAGAGTGCGACACCAACTTTGACTCAAATGACGTTGTTCATATTCATTTGTACCTTTTCCCATAAATATATAGTTTTATACTTTTTGTTTCACTCGCTTATTTTTCCACAGAGTTTCCTCGTCTTCTAAAAGTCAAAACGCTTCATCTCCTTGTAAAAGTCAACTCATACTCCCAAGTTCCAATTCTTCCATAGTCTTGAGCCTACAATCCAACACTAACGTTTCTCTATAGCCCTTTTTTCCTATCCATTTCATATTCGAGCAACAAAATTGAGCTTTGTAAATACAACATACGCTGGAGCAGGCCTGTATAATATTCTCTCAACGAAGCAAACACAGACGTTCTTTTCTAGTTGCTTTTTTTTGAACTTTTCAAAAAGTTTCCTATAGCCCTCTGGTGGTGAGATCTCTTCCACCGGTGACGTTTTCAGCAATCCAACGTCTATTGATGTGGATATTACGTTAAACCAGATAGTATTAAACAATAAATAAACCCAGAGTATGCAGCAAATTTTTCCATTTATTGTTTGACAGAAACTCTTCGAGATACTTTTCAAGAATTTCAATGGCACTCTCGCTTGTGTTTTCAAGTCTATGATGTCAGTAACTGTAAATCGATTGGAAGAAATGTTGAACAATTCCTGGAAATTTTTCTGGGTCTCACCTGTAATGTATTTACTTTATCTTTTTCGATTGACTCCAACATACATATTCGTTTAACGTGTATACCTCTTCATAAAACTCAAACAGCATTGCTACGGCTTTAAGAGGATCTTTTTTTAACCATTCCTTGACTTTTAAAAGACAAAGTAGTACCTAATAGAACCTACATTCCAAGACTTGTGCTCTCAAACAAGATGCAACAGAGTCGCTCTAAAACTAGTCAATAGGTTCTTGGACAGATTGTTCAAAGCACGTCGAGACGCATTTATAAAAGTGTGTAAAGTCAAATGGTCGAAATAAATAAATGTGACGATACAGAATAAACAGATGGGCTTGGAGAAAGGGTCGTCGAGGAGGAGTCTTGTCATTTAAAGAGTCGGTTTCTTGGTGATCCATCAATTTTCTTTACAATTC